CTTAAATGTACTTTTTGAATTTTACATTTAGTACTCCAATAAAATTACAACATTAAGTAACACATCATACATCATTTTATTATATATATATATATATATATAATATGTAAATAAATGGATAAAAGGAGTCGGTGGGGCAGGGCTAATTCAGGGATTTCAAGTGATTGTCCCAGTGGCAGTTGTCACTTGCGAGCACAATTCAGAAGGGCCATTCAGTGTAGACGGAGGAGAGACTTCCTCCGCCTCCGCTTCTCTCTCTAAAAGCCATTTGGTCATCAATGGGGGACGTAAGGCATCCTCCGATGGTGCAGTTGCAGGATCTGGAGTACTGTATTGATTCCAAGCCTCCTTGGCGTAAGAATTTCCTATCACTCTCGTTATCACAAAAACATTTTCCCGCCATTGCTATTTACTCCTAATTTTTTTTCTTTTCTGGTTGATTCATCTGTTGGTGCTCACAACTGGGGAATTAATGAACAATCGATGAGAAAGATGATGATAGTTTGTAGTTTTTGAGCGACGTGGGGAATAGAAGCGATTTGGAATGCCCTATTTTCGCCTTTGTTATCTTTTTCATTTGGTTTATTGATTTGTTATTTCGTTTGGTGATTGACAGTAGATGTTGTAATGAGGCTGCTGTAAGCTATGGTTTGCGGAAGCATTGTCAGGATTAAGAATGATGGTTTTGAAGCAATAAAAAAAGAGAATGGGATAGGGCGACTGGAGATGCACAATATTTTCGTGATAATTTCTAGGAAAAGGAAAAGGAAAAGAAACCAGTAATCTATGGGAGATTCAATTTTCTTTTTCCATGCATTCTCTAGTCTTTATGCTCCTCCAAGAACACTCCTAGTTGACGAGAGGGTAAGTGAGGAACAGGAGAGATCTGTAATATTAAAATGGTTCTTGATTACTTGACTTGAAACCCAGTGTAGCTTTTGTTTTCGTTTTTTTTTTCTCTTTTTTATTTTTGAATGTCTTCAGCTTGTCTATCGTCGCTATAGATCATCTATATCATATATATGATCCGGAGAAGACAGAGAAGAGAAAGAATGTGGAGAATATCTGTAAAGTAAACTTCGCGTGATAGCCTAAAAACGTATGTCCAAAACGAAATCAGATCAAAAATAATTTGGAACATATCCGTAAATAACACTCTACGAAATAAACCCACAACTAAAGATTTTGTGTGCTTGTTCTGGGGTCAAGAGCAGCTCCCAGAGAGACATATCTCTTTGGTTAATTACATCTTGGAGAATGCCTAAGAAAACTTTGATTAAAGGAATCTTGCTTACACGTGTACAACGATTAAAATGGGTGTCACAAAAGACGGGTATCTCACACGAGCGTCCCGATGCCTTCAAAACTCACATTGATTAATACAGATAGAGAGTGAGTCTCTCACGATCCCATATAGATGGTTGTTTATTGGCGACCAATGCCTATGAAATAACCGAGTCAGTTGTCTGTGTTTGGTTAACCTGCATAGTATAGTGAATAATGGAATGTTGTGAGAAATTTTAAAATTTTAGAAATTTTTTTT